CCCCAAAACCCCAAAACCCCAAAACCCCAAAACCCCAAAACCCCAAAACCCCGATTTAATTATTTATTATTGAAAATGGAACACCCTGACAAATTCGAACAGTTGGTTCAGAAACCTATCAAAGCAGAAACTGACGCTCAGAATGTGCAGAAAATGTCTCAAGCCTCACAGGATCCTCCAAAGCCTGAAGCTGTTTCTGAAAGGGATGAAAATATTGACCAATCTTCTCAATCCCATAACAGTGAGAAGAAGAATGAGACCGAGCTGATCTTGAAGAACTCCTCAGTTCTTGTGAGGAAAAGAAAGGCAGTTACCTCTAAGAAGATAGGGAGTGACAAAAAATCTAAGAATTATGACAGTGATAATGACTCTAAAGTCCAAGACATGGATAGCAACCTAAAAGCTGAGTTTTTATACCATGATTCGTATGCTCTTCCTGACCTTACTGATTATCTTCAGGGATACATCAAAATCATAGTAGCAAGGGAATACCTTACTAACCAGAACAAAGCTATTATTAAGAGACAAATCTGGGGGAATGAGTTTTATTCTTCAAACTCTGATATAGTTTGCATTCTTCAGCATTGCGGGGCTTTTAAGTTGCAAGAACTTCCTCCAAAATATCAAGGACTCGCTGTTTATTTCAAAGTCAGCAGGAACAGAAATAATTATGCAAGTCATTTCAAGAATGGTGTCAGAAGCAGAAGGACCCAGTCTTTTGATGGTCATTCTCTTAAATTCGAGACAGCTATTGAGCTTGTGAATCTTGGACCTCAAGAGAAGCTAAACAGCCTTGCTTCAAGAATGTCTACAAAAAGAAGCATTAGAAGAAAGCAGAAGCAGGCAAGGAAAGCGCTCGAATCCGAACAAGATATGAGCATTGTCTTCAATCTAAGTGGGGAACCAATGAATAAATTCAACCTAGGAGAATTTGGAGATAGAAGACATATTGACAGAAGAGTCTCTGAGACTATTCAAAAAGAAGTCCTTTACCTAGAGACTTATGCTAAAAGGTATGAAGTGAGCTTTGACCCTCATAAAAAGCTGTATAATGTCAAAGAGGTCCAGAAGCCCTTACTCAAAGACCTGGTCTACATGTATAAAGCAGGAGTCCCTCTTCCAGAGACAGATGTGAAGGAAGTCCTAACAGACCTAGAATGGAAAGAATTCTTATGGGGAGATCACTCACTTAGAATCAGAGACTCCTTAAAGTTGAACTACATCAACGGATACATGTACATTCCGATCCCAGAGTAATTGAGAGAGCTCCATTTACCATTGTAAATTTTAAAATTTCAATCAAATATTTGCTTCGAGGGGTTTTGGGGTTTTGGGGTTTTGGGGTTTTGGGG